TAAATTCAGCCTTGTGCCACTAGTTACATCGTGGGGAGGCTGATAAATATTTCTAGCTGAGATATGTTGAGTACGACTCAGACTTAAGCGAGAACTATAACTTCCAATAGTAGCACTCACTACTGGATTGAATTGCGACGACCTTGTGCATAACTGTTACATTTATTCTTATTGTATTGGTTTTTACAAACCGTGTTTGTCAAGTATAGATTCTTATTCGCACGGAATATAACAGCTTACTATCATTTTAGTTTTATTATTATAGAAAGTTAACATCTTGATCATATTATTGATTTCTCTTCTAGTTAGGTGTGCTACACATGTTTGATGTTGCTGCTATTAGAAGTGTTGAAATGATGTGGTTTTTGTTATTTGGTAAAGTTCATAGTTTGTGATATTGTATCGCCAATCTATAGAGTCTGATGAAGGTCCTTCTTTTTAAAGATTAATTCGTTTGAAGCCGTTTTTTAACTATTGATCTGAGAATGCAGTTGTATACGAGTAATAGTTTCGACTTGACTGCTCCCAATTAGACCGATTCAAGGCAGCAATTGACGAAAATTGTTCGACGTTAACTGAAAGAAGATAATAATCCATGAAGCTAACACTAGACAGAATGTTTCTTTCGTGGCCAGGTAGAAAGTCTTACAGATTAGCTTGGAATTTTCCCCTCATGTGCCGAAGTCACGTGATATATGAACTGCGGATTGCGATTTTATTCCGAACTTTGCAGAAATAAGTCGATGAAACATTTCCAAATTCCAATACGTTGGAAGTTTCCAAATGACACTTATAGTATTTTTTTTTTCTCGGAACGCTAAAATTTCAGCGAGAATGCAACTATAAAATCTCCTGAAAGATGGCAAAAATATCTTATTAAAATAAAAGGAAACAAAAAATAAACAACCGTTTCGTAAATAGGTCAGATTTTACGGGGGCACTGAAAACTTTTCGGCCCAAGCAACTGCCACAAATCTGTCTAAATAACCAGACGTTAGCTTTTTCTTCCCTTTGTTTTCTTAATCTTTTTCTTGTTAATAAAGGTCTCTTGGTTTGGCTGAGAACTTTTCGTCTTTCCCTCGTATGTTTACCAAACTCTGATCACTGTTCCGAATATTGCATCTCTTCCAGCTCAATGGAAATATGCAATCAAAGATCAATTTCGACTGTCTAGTGAATTTGATTCTTACTGGGTGCTCCATAATTGCAGCATTGTATCACGTCTGACCCCCGTTTTGTAAATCGCTCTAAGTGTAGTTCGACGCAAAGTAAAAACAAGCTATACTTATAGCTGTTAGCGAGCTTGTCTCGCTGAATCAGTTACGAGTAAGTATTGAGTTCGATCCTTAATAGGTGTTTTAGACTTTCGGCCTTATGCCACATCTAACCTATCTTTAATAAATCATTACACATTCAAAAGCAACACAGATACATGGATAAATGTTTATGGACTAATGATCGAGAAAGAAAGTTTCCGAATAGCCATAATTATCTAAGTGTATTTATTTTCTGCTTAAAAAAAGAAACGAACAAAATTTTGGACACCAAATTTGATAAACTTTGAGCATGATTTTCAACAAATAACCGAAAAGGATTGAGGTTCTTTTTTTGTTTCTTTTGATGTAATGCCAAGACTTATTGCCTCTTGTCTGTTCGTTTTGTTCTCCGTAAAATAATAACTTTTCTAGCTGATCTGCTTGACAACAGTTATAAAGAAAAGTAATGATGAACGAGTTCGCTAAGAAAGATTGTTATCAGCTAGCTTTCTTCATCGTCAAAATGGCAGAAAGAATCCTAATATCTTGCAATGATAATATTTCACATATTAATTGAACCCTAAAAAAATCATATCCGTGCGTTGCAAAGGATAAAGCATATTATAATATAAAGCTGAATATAATAAAGTCAAACAGAAATCGAAATCGATTTGGTCTTTGCCCGATGGATGAGAAAAGGTTGTAATAAGAGAATTAAGATCATGCTTATAATAGTCAGCACAATAAGAACTTTGCGAAAACACTGGAATCAGGACTGGAAGAATTACAAGGAAGAATTGAAGTATCAACATTCCAGGTCGATGTGGGGCTAGGATATTGGAAACTGAGGTGGTGATATGAAGTGCCTGGCTATCATTCAATCTAAAGTGCTAGCCACCATTCCATCTGGCGTGAAAATGCATATTCTTGAAGAATACGGTTCGTTTTGATTTCCATTCTTCCTCAGATTTTCATTTATTCCCAGACTTTTTTTATTCTCTGGGCCCTTTTTGATACCGTTCCGAAGATTTCAACAACGACAGATATCTTCAAGCTTTTATTTAGTTTCATTCGATCGCTGATAATGATCAGAGTGTAGTATCCGTTTCCTTTGTAAATGCTTAGATTTCTACGCCACCTATGCCTAGGATCAGATAGTTGTCTTTGATTTTTTTAACTACCGTGTTTTCATGCGTCAACTTATGATGTGCTGTCATATATATATATATATATATATATATATA